TAAGACTGAAGCAGAATTCATTACAATATTGAGTCATAACCAACTTATGAGTAGACACCAGGCTCAGCCCAGCCTAAGTAAGTGTCCAATCTCAGAATCACACAGCAACAAAAGGGCAGGGCCAGAATCGCAATCATGAAAGGCAGACTTCAGTGCCCACACTCTTAATCATCATGTTCTACTATCTGGATGGTAGCTGACTAACTAAGCAACATTAGTTTGGGGTTCCACCAGCACCAAAACTGCATAAGCACAAATGTTCCTACACTTAAACACACACTTACAGATACCTTTTCATGATTTCCTCTGCTTCCTGTGTGCTTGTTAAGCAGTTACTACTAGATTATGTCAGTCTAGTTAGATAATTTCATCTTCTTTGTAATACTCTCTATAGTCCAGTTACAGAAATCATCTATGAGTGATGAAGAATAGATGAAAACTGAATAATGGACATGCTCCATCAAACCTCCATGGTCCTTACCACTTCTCAATTCTGCCCAGTCACTGCTTCCCATGGATATTGGAGAATTAGAAGCATCATTCCCTTCATTTTGGTTCCCCACACTTGTTTGACTTTTCTTCTTCCTGCTTGCTTTCTTCTCCCTACACCCTCCCTTCCTTTTGCTGTCCAGTGTGGGAAAAAAGCACAGAATCCCTCTTATTTTATGAAGACAAGTTCCTTTCCTCTCAGCCTTCAAGTTGGATGCAGGGATGCCTGAAATAGGGGTGGGAAAGGATTTGGAAAGTGAAAAGAGTACTGATGAGCCCTTTCTACTTGAAGACTTCTAAATATTGGCAATCTTCCTTAAAACGAACAAATCCTTCACTCATACTTCTTCTATTAAACCATAAACCATGCTATGCACCCAGGGGCTCTGTAGACTACATCCTCAGGATTTTTGAATTCCATTTCCTCTGTCTTCTTTCCCCAGATACACACTAGGAATGAATTTGTTTTGTTTCCTGTCCTACCTGAACAGAGCAGTTCATATCTGGATGGCAATGCTGCTGCCCTGAAGAAAATGGTCCCATGGGTGGTTCCCTGTTTCAGACTTGCCATCCTCTGCTCTTGCCATTTCCTTGAAAACCCCCTCTGTCTACACCTGTCTATATTCATCTTCCCTTTGTGAATTCCTTTGACATTTTCTATTTGTTTTTTGCACAATCTATTTTAACTCTTTATGTCCTACATTTGCCCTTTTATCAACTGATCAGAGAAAGAATGGGTGGCACACACTGCAAACCAAATACTTAAGCAATGAAATAAGGGAGGGCATACAAATCCAATGATATCACAAGAAACACTAAATAGAATTGGATAGGATAGACTTTCCTAGGATAGATACTTTCTTTAAAATTTACTTGTGTTCTATAACACATTGATATCTTATGAGTCATGTGTCATTTCCCTGAAATCTTTTTTGTCTTATTTCTGATGACTTTATCAAAACCACAGAAAAATATGAAACAACAGAATTTAACAATAAATGCAGAAATCCTATTTCATGAATACATGCAAAATAATTACACTTCCTCTAAAGGACAGACACTTGTTCTACCAATTTTGTTAAAAAAAAAATAGGATGTTTATAGAAACCGTATCAAATTTCTAGGGCTGAGGAGAGCTCAGGGTAGAATCCATGCTTATCATGTTCCAGCCTTGCCTTTAACTCAAAGACACTGAGAAGAAAAGTCTAATTCTTTACTTAATTTTTGATTCAAGTGTAACATTGCTTTTCTGTAGCACAAGTGGCAATCTCCTGTCATTAGAAAAGCCCAGTGTAAATTGCTTTTCAATCATTTAAATATTCTGAAATGCTGGCGATCTTAATGAAAGTGCGCCTTCAGTTTCCCCTGATTTTACTACTTTTTCATTTTTCTTTCATCTGAAACATGATTTACAGCATGAATTGGCCCACAGTTTGTTGGGCCTCAAACTTGTTAGGACATTTGTATGCTGTGCTTTCAAATGCCTTAAGCACATATGCATTCTGAGACTATTTCCTGACTTGACTCCATTCCCCACGTGTGCTGGGTCCAAAATGTCTGCATGGTGCCCATAGAGGACCACAGCTGGCACAGGACTGGGGCCTGAACTTCCACTTGTACATCCTCATCAAGCAAGTACTGTGGGCTACTCCTGTGCATGGCAGTAAGGAGAGTAGAGAACACAAGAGTGAGGAAAAGGCAGCACGCTGGCTTGCCATGTGGTGAGAGGAGCTTTGGAAGGACCAGTGGGGAAGTGGTAAGGTGCCTTCCAGAAGGGGGACTGTAATCATCTTCAGTGCCCAGTAGAGCAGGGAAAACACAATCTGTCCAGGAGAAAGAGACTTCTAGACATCCTGGGAATGAGCACACTGGGATGAAGAACAGAACATCTAATCTTCTTTCTGAGGTAGCATGGAGCACAGGATACACAGAAGGAAACACAAGCAGCCCCACACAGTGAAGGGTGATAAGAGATGAGTAGCTGGTTAGGAACTTTATTTTGGTACCATGTAGAGCTGCTGATGTTTGTGATTGAGAGGTGACTTTACAGGTCATTTCTTATTGGAAGATTGTGAAATCCAGCTGCACAGAGAATGTGGTAGAAGGGAAGAGGAGGAAAAATGTTCAATTGACTCATTGATAGTAAAGAGGGGAGTCCACACTAGGATAATAATAAAGAAATGAGAGGGAGAGTTTGGGGCACAAGAGACAGACAAGGCTACATGTGTCTGTCAACCTTGCTCACACATGGAGAGTTGGAGAACAAAGCAAAGGAGCTAAGACTTCTATCTCTAGGCATCTCAGTGCCTCTTCCTTTTACTAAATACCCATCAACTTGAGTTTTCTGGACCCAATTTCCTCTTTGCTTTCAGACTGCATCTCTATCCTTGGTTTTAGTTTCCCACACTGAGTTTGTCATTCAGGGATCGGTGATGGACAGTCCCTGGAGAATCAGCATGGAGCACAAGAACTAGAGTGGTCACCCTCAGAGGTGACCCTTTGCTTCCTTATAAACTGAAAATTGAAAGGTGCTGTTTTGCTGTAGGAGGGAAACAGAAAGCAAATGTGAACGAAGATGAGAGATGGAGGATAGTGGCTAGATCTGAGTTTCCTGTTAACTTCAGTCTAGACTTTCAAAAGACAACTACAAGCTTTCTCTTGAGAAGTTTGGGATGCCCCTATAATGCAGAAATACCTATCCCCCTCTGATGAAACTGCACTGGCAGGCTTGGTGTTACTTGCAGCCACCACGGCTCAGATTGAGTTGTTCCTAAACATAGACTTTTCTTTCACCTTGTCAACTGGTCTCTAGCTATTTTGAACACATCAGCATTTTGCTGACTCTACGTTTAAATACACTTAAAAAAATCTGGAATGCCTTTTCCAACCCAATCCTGCTGTCTCTGTGAGTATAAATTCTGGCTATCTTTCCTTTCTCCTGTTTGTCTTTATTGAGCACTTTTTGAATGAATATATAATTTGTAAAAATTCTATTATTGTGTATTTCCATTTGAAGTGAAGTTATTTAGAAAAATACTTAAAATTTGCATAAGTGGGGAAGAAGGGAGGGGTTTCAGTGTCAGTCAATGAAGGAGTATTCTCCAGCACATAAATCTGAACAAATCAAAGGAGACAATCATCTATTTGGCTGCTAGAACTCTTCACTGTAAAATGGGGTCAGGGAGGAACCAGTGGGCCATTTAACCAGAGTGAGAATTTAACGTTTGAAAGAAAATTAGTTGGGAAACATGATACAATGAACTAGATAAAAGGAACGCAGGATGTATTATTGCATAAGTACTACAAACTCAATTTGGAGCTCTGGTGAAGAGGTCTTACAGCTAATGAGAGGTGGACCTGGAGTCTACCAATGCCTGACCTCATGCCCAAAGCTTTCTCTACAATGCTAAAGCATCTTACAGAAAATGAAAAGAGAAGCATCTGTTTCTAGAATAGACAAAAAGTTTTCAAGCTTATGTCTTCAGGTAGCTTTAAACTATACTGTATTTTAAAATATAACCCATTAGAGACAGTGATACACCGTAAGTACCACATTGAAGCCAATGCCCAGGGTATAGAACAAAACAAAACACTATTGTTCTGCTCTTCAACAACACAGAATTGCTCTCATAAAGGCCCCTCTTTGCCTCTAGAAACAAAAATCCAATCTGCTATCCTGTGAAATCTCACATAAATTCAGAACACAATGGAGCCTCCTTTCCCTTTGGCAATGGCAGCCATTGTTCTCGTGACTTATAGTGCCTCAGGAGGGGAAACAAAATTGCCTTATAAAAGCAATAAGAAAATGTCTAGCAAATGGATAGACATTTAATGAGCAAGATAAAGCACCAAGAAAATAGCAAACGTCTTTTTCTGTCTCTTTCAAAAGAACACTCCTATACCCTAAGAGCTCACACCAGCAGCTCTCACCAGTCATCATGCTCAGTAGCATGGCGGTGTTCTACAAAATATCTATTGCTAAGCAGGGTGGAAATACTGTGTACAGGAAACAGAAGAGTCTGTGGTGAACACTGAAAAACCATCATTTTCATAACCAGAAAATCGCTTTCACATCACTCCATTTCGATGACTGCAACCCCCTCAGTGCTTTGACAGTCATATTTCTATGCATTGCTGGCTGGCTTTCTATCGTTTTCATCTTTGAGTACTTTGCTCACAAAATGGCAGTTTTCGGGTTCTGTTTTTGTCTTCTTAAAATTTGCATAAGCAGGGAAGAAGGGAGGGGTTGCACATCAACCCTTCCTGATAATAATAATAATGCTGCATTGTTATCAGGCCCTGCCTAACAGTCATAAAAAGAATTACTACTCCCCCCGACACACACACCCAGCTATCTTCTGCCCTGTAAAATTGCTGATGAAATGATTAGAGAAAGCCCCATTAATCACAACTGTAAACTAAGTTCTTCTCTAGATGTGTAGAGCCCATGCTTACACTGAGAACAAAGCATCGACCAACTTCAGAGAGAGCAGGGAAATGCAAACACTTACCTGCATCACGATAAGAAGGTCAAAGACCAAGATGAAAGAAGCAAGGAATGCTCTGGAAACCTCATCACTGGGCAAAAATCCACGATTCAGTTTGTCCCAGCTGATCCAGTCGGTTGTGATGACAAGTACCACCACGGAAGTCAGGGTAAAGAGAACAGTCCTGCAATGAACAAGGCATTCATCACACAAAGACACTGATACAAGTGCTCGGTATCTCTCCTATACTAATTTCTATAAATACCCATCCCAAAGTGTAGTCCCTGAAAGACAAGAAAAAGACATCAATTGGGTGTTTTATTTCAAAAAATGGTTAGGAGGCTATGATAACATCTCTTCCAAGATATCCCTGGAAGAACATCATGATGACAATTATGAAAGAAATCTTAACAGCAAAATTATTACAAATAATCTTGGTTAGTTCAGCAAAGAGTGTTCTGTGGAGAACACTGTATATGGTTTCCATTACATTCACACTTTTAACTGAAGTCTTGGAACAAGGATATATATGCAAATATATTTTAGGAAATTGGTAAAAGATGAGCAGTCACTTGACCACAACTAGCCTGTTTCCCTACAAAATACACAGGGTGGAAAGCCTGTTGCCTCAGGCTCATTCCTGTGCTGTACTACACACACACTCCTTGTGATGCAGTAGTAGGAGTGGGACTTGCTCTTTTCTCACAAATCTTGGCAGGACCCTTAAAAATCTTATTAGTTATACTTATAACTTTGTAAGTATTTGTTGAAATTGAGCATTCTGTGAAATAAAATAATCAAATTCATTTTTAATATTAACATTAAAAGTAGTCTTGGGATGTTCATGGTGAAGACTTAATCTGGAAAAAAATTATCCAGACTAAAGTTGGGCCTCTGCTGTGTTATCATGTGGACATCACTTGAAACTTTATAAAGGAAGGAAGGTAGAGCAGTTGTGAAATAAATTTAATCAAAAATGAATGAATAAGTATAAGACAGAGGAAGGAAGAATGGAAGGAAGGGAGGGAGGGAGAAAGAGATGTGCGGGAGGGCACAAGAAAAACATGGATATGGAATAAAACCACAGAATATTTAGTCATTTTGGTCACTAACAATTTAAGCTAATATTTTATTAATTCTTTGAGAATTTCATAAAATATATTTTAATCATAGGCACTCCCCAAGTCCACTCTTTCTTCTCTACTGCTTAAGTTTTTTTCATTTATTTAGTTTTTAAAAACCACCAAAACATTTTGTGTAGCCTATCTACTCTTGGAAGTAGGGCCTGCTGTTGGGGTCGTATCATTCATCAAACTGACCCTCCCTCTCTAGGCAGCTACGAAATTCTGTAACTCCTCAGTGAGGGGAAGGATTTCATCCCCACCTTCCCCACTCGTCCATGCTGGAATTATGTCTGGCTTGAGCATGTGCAGGTCTCATGCATGATGTCACAATTGCTATGAGAGGACATCTGTACCTGCCCCATTGTGTCTAGAAAACAGTGTTTCCTTGAAGTTAGCCACCCCATTGGTTCTTATAATCTTTCTGCTCCCTCTTCTGGGATGATTCCTCAGCATTGAAGGAAGGTGTGTGATATATACTGGCATCTCAGATGAATAATATGAGTCTTCCTGGAAGTCCCTTTCAATTGCAAAATGTGTACAATCTGCACATTAGGTTTCTCATAAAATGCTTACTCCCTTCCCATGAGCTATATTGGAAGCAAGTCATACTTTGATATAATGAATATAAAATATTGCCTAGAGATTTTTCTACCCATAAGTATAAAAGTCACATTATTTCTTTAAAGATCTAAGTAATGGCCTGTTAAATATGAATCACATATTTTCCTCTGCTATAATAAGTAGAAGTAAAAATCCATCTTGAGAGTCTTTTGGTATCATATTAGGGTGTTTCAAATAAGCACCCACTGAGTAGTTCAATACTTCGCCTGATTATTGTAAGATTCCTAAAGGACTACCAGTGGGGTGATGTTGCAGCAAGTACCATTTCTGAGCAAAACATCAACAACAACAAACCTAGAAATAAATAATAAAAGGAAGTCTGGGAAATTCACAAACAGGGAAATAAAACAACATGCTCCATAATACCAGCTGTCAAATAATAAATGAAAAAACAGAATAAACAAGGATCTAAGGACAGATGAAAATAGAAACAAATGTACCAAAGTATATGGAATGAGGTTGGAGCTCCAAGAAGTCTACAGTGTAACCTCCCATATTAAAACAAAAGAGAGATTTCCACCAAGAAGCTTAACTCTGTTCCTCAAGGAACTCTAAAACAATGAAGCCTGAACTTGGCATGAGAAAGGAGATCAGAAGCAAAAGAAGTAATGCATAAACTAGATGCATAAAATAAATATAAATGTATAAAAATAGAAATAATGCAAGGCACCAGCAAGATAAAGAAAAGAAAAAACTGTCAAACCTTTGGTAACAAAAATGATGGAATCAAAATAAAACTATGTATTAAAAATGAAACATAATGCATACAATAAAATGCAAATAGTTACGAGACTGTTACAAGTAAGAACAAGGCAATGAACTCGGAAGGAAGAGAAAGGTTTCTAGAAATGCACAGTCCACCAAGAGTGAATCAGAAAGCAGTCTGAGTAAGATTAATTAAATCACAATGACTAGTGAGAAACCTCTAATATAGTCAATTCTGGAACAGATGACTTCAAAGGGAATGGCACTGAGTCATTAAGAGGAATTATAGCCATCCCTTCCCAGACATTCCTAGAAATTCAGGAGAAGTAAAAGCTTCCTAGTTCAATTTATGTAAAGCATTACTGGATGTCAAGGTTAGACAAAAAATAAATTCTACAAAAATATTCCCAATAAACATAGGGTAATTATCCTTAGAAAATTGGCAGCATGTAGAAGGCTTGCACATTAAAACAAATGGAAGTTATAAGTTATTTATGGGGTGCAAGGAGAGACCAACACAGACAAACCAATCAATATAATACAATAATTTCAAAGAAGGAAGGATTATAATCACCTTAGTAGGTGTGGAAAATTTCAAATACATACATACATACATACATACATACATACATACATACCCCCTCACAGATTAGGTATAGAGCCATGAGCCATGTAATATTAACCTATGAGGTCACATTCTGTGAAATCTGGCTTTGTGTGAACTTACTATATACCAAAGATGTATGGCACATACAATTGTATATGTGACTGACTCATCATTGACAGAGAAGTCATGACGTATATGATTGTAGGAGGAATGTATATCAACAGAATTAACTAATACATGGCACAGTCATAAACTATATAATTCTCAATGGAGAACACTTAATTTTTCTTCACAGGAACAAAACAAGGAAGTCTATTCTCATCACTTCTATTCAACAACACTAGAAGTATGTCCAAAAGAATCTGACAAGAAAAATAAATAAAAGGCAGGAGAAACTATCTGCTTTCATCTAAGATGTGAGTGAATTTGGAGGATAAAAAAATTAACATAAAAAATCAGACGTGTGTCTATCCACTAACAGCACAAGATCAGTAATTAGGAAAATAATTCCACCATAAAAGACTCAAGCAGAACAAAAAGACCAAGAAATATAGTTCACCAAAGAAATAATTTATCTGTACACTAAAAAATTGAAGACATAAATGAATGGAAAGATATATCTATGAGTCATATAAATAGTTAAATGTGTCTGTATACCACCAAATGTCTCTGGTTTTTTTTTTCAATGCAATCTCTACAGAGTCTGATGAAATTTTGTTCAGTAAAATAGAAAAATAATTCTAAATTCATGTGACATCATTAGAGATACCAGGGCATCAGAGAACTTTTGAAAAATAAGTTTGGAGACACTATATTTTCTGACACAAACACATATATAGACACTCTTAAAAATTGGAAAGCCTAGAAATGACTGCACATGCGCACCTGTGTGTGTGTGTGTGTGTGTGTGTGTGCACACGCGTGCGTGCGCGTGTACACACACATATATATAGTCAACAAAGTTTTGAGAGGATTACTTGGAGTACACAATGGGGCAGAGCAGTGTCCGCAATAAATACACACAGAGAAATGGATGGTCATGTGCAAAGAATGAAACTGGTCCATCTTTACATTAGACACAAACACTAGCTCAAAAACATTAGAAGCCCAAATATATGGCCAGAAACGATAAAAATTTTAGGAGGAAACAGGCAAACCTCTCTAATATTGGTTTTGGAAGTTATTTTGTAGATCTGACACCCAAAGCATAGGTAGAAAAATAGAACAAACAAGATGACATCAAAGTGGAAAGTTAAAAGCACACCAGAGAAAACAAATAGGATTGGAATGGCAACCAGTGAAATGGGGGATGATTTCTGAAGACTATATATTTGCAAAGAATCAATGCACAGAATGTAAGTAACTCAGTAGCACCAAATCAAATGGTACCATAGGGATAGGACCTGAATAGACAGCTCTCACAAGCAGGCAGAGAAAGGCTCAATGGGTTGAGTCCAGCCTTGATATGAGCATGTTTGCCTAGTCTTACTGCATCTTGTTATGCCCTGTTTGGTTGACATCCCTGAGAGACCTGCTCTTTTTTAAAGGGAAATAAATGGAGAAGCAGTGGATCTAGGGGAAAGGAAAGGGGGCAGGGGCAATTGGGAGGAGAGGAGGGAGGGGAAATTGTAGTCGGGATGTATTGTGTGAGAGAATAAAAAAAGAAAAAAATCTCTACACCACTAATCTGTAAGGGAGAAGCAAGTGAGAACCACAGTGAGAAACCGCTTCACACCTGAAAGCATGACTAGCATCAGAAAGACAAGAGAGAAAGGCTGGTGAGAATGTTGAGGAAGTGACCTCTGTGCACTGCTGATGGGACCAGCCATTGGCACAATGCTCTAACATGCATGAGCATTAAGCCTTTGTGAGTGTTTTTCTGGCTTCATTGTGTACTTCCGTTTTGACAAAAGGTATTACTACAGATCTCAAGAAATAACTAGTGGTAACATTTTATTGCTCCAAAGGGAAATTAAGGGAGGTATTCTGTCTGATATTTAATTTTTAATAGTACAAAAGGAATAAAAATGGCAATCATTAAATATGCATGCCTACAGCTCAAAGAAAGGGGCCTAAAAATAAGTCTCAAGAGGACAGCAGAAAGCAAAGGAAATAGAAATCAAAACA